GAGGAGGAGGAGGAGGAGGAGGAGGGGGCGAGGCGGGCGCGGTTTGCTCGCGGTCCCGGTGGGTTCGGTGCGCCGCAACCCCCCTGCGAGGGAGGCCGCCCTGGTTGCCCTCGGCCCGGCCCCGCCCCGCCCGCGGAGCGGCGCCCGTGGGGCCCCTGGCGAGGCCGCCTCGGCTCGGAAGCGCCCGGGCAAGCGGGACGGTGGGATCGGGCGCCTGTTCGCTGAGGCGTCTCCTCGGCCTCGGAGGGACGCGTTGCGGACGCTTTGAGCCCCGCCGCTGCCAAGAGTTGCAGCGCGATGCCGGGGGAAATGTAGTACGCAGCCCAGTGCGTTGCTGGATGGGAAAAGGTCCCGCGGCGCTTCTGGCGCCGTGCGGGGCTGCGCGCTGGGTCTGTTCTGCGTGTGCCACCGTTCGCCGAGGGGAAAGCCGCCGCATTGTTTTTGAGATGAGGCTGCCTTTCCCCTTGCCCAGTGCTCTGTTTAGACTTGGCAATGTTTTTGGAAACCAGAGGGTGGAGGTGTGACCTTGAGCGTTTGGGATGGCATGTGGACTGGGCTCCGAGCCCACTGTCCGTATCACTAACCATACCGCCAGGATAAGCGGCTTGCTTTTCTGATCCTTTTCCTTCCTTTCAGATTTCAAAATGACAACCATGTTGACCTGCGCAGTTAAGACCCTCCCTGCAGTCTTTCCATGGGCCACTAGAATCTGTAAGTTATCTCCTTTGATTAATCACCAGGCGTATCTCAGGCCAAATTTGTATATTTATTGGCATTAAATTGCGGTGTTCTGTTGAATTGGGGTCTTCTAACTGCAGTAAGTAATAAAAGCCAACATGGATTTATTTTTGATGAAACTGATTAATTCAGATTAATTTATGCTCATTTTTTTTCTGGGTAAACTCCCAAACTTACACTGCAGACATAATCTACCTTGACTTTAGCAAAGCTTTCCACATAGTGCCCATGAAATTCTGATAAGCAAATTAGCAAAAAGTAAACTAGATAGAAAAACTGTTAGGTGGATCCAAAATTGGCTGCTAATACAGACACAAGGAGTGCTCATCAATGGCTCCTTCTCCAACTGGAGGGAGGTAATGAGTGGGTGCCTCAGGGTTTGGTCCTCAGGGCAGTGCTCTTCAACATCTTTATTAATGATTTAGATGAGGAAGTATAAGGAAATCTAATAGAAACATTGAAACAGCGAGTCAGAAGGGGACTCCTGGGTCATCTACCCTGACCCCTGGCTCCAGCCGGCTCCACTCATGACATGCCTACCATGTGCATGTCCAGCCTGTCCTTGGACACCCTCACACCCACGATCCCATGTTAAGAGAGCTACACCAGCTGCTTATTAGCTTCTGAGCCACATTCAAGGCTTCTCTTGATACCATTCAAAGTCCTGAATAACTCAGATGCAGAATACCTGGCAGCTGGCCTGTACCTGCAAAGTTTGCCTGGCAGGACACAAGGTTTGTCTGGCAAGAGAAATAATCAGATTTGCAAACTATACAAAACTGGGTGAAATAGCAAACACCCTAGAAGGCAGAATGAAAATCCAGGGAGAACTTGATAAACTTGAACGCTGGGCTGAAGGCAACAGAATGAGATTCAATGGGGACCAGTGCCAAGTCCTCCACCGAGGAAGAAGAAACGAAAGGCATTGATACAAGACGGGGAACACGTGGCTCAACAGAACTGGAAGAGAAAAAGATCTTGAAGTAATTGTGGACAACAGGCTAAAGATGAGCCAACAATGTGATGCAGCTGCAAAAAAGGGCAAATGCTATTTTGGGATGCATTAATAGCATTACTTCCAAATCACAAGAAATGCTCCTCACTAGTGGGACCTTATCTGGAATATTGGGTGCAGTTCTGAGCATCAAGATTTTAAGAAAGATGCAGAAAATTTGGCAAAGGTCCAGGGGAAGGCAATAAAGCTGATCCAGGGTTTGGAATCATTGTCCTATGAGGAGAGACTGAGAGAACTGGGCATGTTCCGCCTTGGGAAGAGAAGACCAAGGGGGGACATGAGATCTCTCTAGAAGCACCTCAAAGGCTATCACAAAGAGGAAGGTCAAGATTTCTTCTTTCTGGTGCCAGAGTGCAGGACGCAGAAGAATCAGGTCAAGCTGCGACAACCCAGAGTCAGGCTAGACAGCAGGAAAAGTTTCTTCACTGTCAGAGCAATAGGACAGCGAGACCAGCTGCCTAGAGAGGCTGTTCCACACCAGAAACATTCAAGGCAACGCTGGACCGTCATCTGAGTGGGATGATGTAAACTGGTGTCCTGCAACAGCAGAGGGCTGGACCCGGTGGCCTTCTGGTCCCTTCCAACTCTACTGTTCCTTGATTCTATGAATTATATGGCAAGCTTAGTCCTGTCATGGCACTGTATTTTTACGCCAGTGCAACATTTTATGATTACTGTGGTTAGTTTGGGCTCATCTGCCCTGGAAAGACAGCATATAGCTGAACCAATCTAAGGTGCTGATTGCCCTGCCTGGAACCACAAATGCTCATGTCTGAATATCTGTGCGGGACTTGAATTTCTGTATTGCCCGGCAGGCCCTAAGCCAGGAGAACAAATTTCACAACAACCTTTGTATGTCAGAGGTGACGTGATCTTGCTGTCTTTAATTCATCCTAATCACAGCTCAGTCCAAACAAGCACAACGGCTCGCTCGCTCAGCTATTGTCCGTTCTGACAGTTCAGTCTTTCCTTATTGCAAATGTTAGCTTTTATTTGAATCATTGTTATTCAATTATTTTCTGATGTTGGGTAGAAGGTGAAAAAGCATTACTTCTTTTAAACTTGGGAATTCTTTTATTTCAGCGGTGAGGTCCCTCAGCTGTTCGCCTCAATTACACGCAGCAGGTAAAGCAAAAAAATCACTAAATTAATTGATCAAATTACGCAACAAAATTGCAAGCGTTGATCAGATTACGAAAGGGTCTTTTTGAAACTGAAGTGGGGACTGTGTTGATACTGTGGATCATATGCAGTGTTGTTCTTACTTAGCATAGTTCCAAGGACACAAGTCTTGAGATCTGTCAACCCAACGTAGGACAGAACACCGTAAGGCTGTGCATTGTTGCTTTGGATATATAAGCTGAAGTACGTGTCTTCCGGTGGAGCTCTTTGTTTTCAGAATTGGCGCTTGTCCATTTCTGATAAAGATTATTTTCCCAAGCTGTAGTTCCAAATATCTTAAAGTACTAAATTGGGAAAACAGATTCTTACTGGATTGTTGAACATGAACCTGGGAATTCAAGGATGTGTGCTTAGAGTCTCACTGTTGTGCTGGCTGGAGGGAGAGATTAGTCGAGTTAATAAGGTGCAGCGTTTGAGAAAGCAGGTTCCAGTTCCTCACTGAGACCCCGTCACCCAGCCAGGGCTCCCCTCCCTTAACTAAGCGCCTTGTTCCCACTGGTGTCGCGCACACCACCGTGCATGGGATGCCCTTGACATTCCACGCATTGCACCGCACCGGTCAGGCTCCTGCTGGTGTGTCTGCCACGAACTCCCCGTCACCCAGACGGCACGAACGCTGCTGCTTTGGCGCAGTGCTCCACGTCACGGAACTGGGACCACCTCGTGTAGCGGAAGCTTTAGCAGCAACGGACGTGCAGACGTGCTGCTTGAATGCCCTGGCTAATCTGCTTGCTCCTTGGGATTCATGTGCTGTGGTTCCACCTTCACACAGAGGCTGTAACCCCATTTCAGAACCTGCCCCCTTCTCTGAATCTGTGTTCTTCTAAGATCAGGGAAGCCTTTTTGCCCGAGAGTTGTGGTCATTTTCTGAGCAGCTGTTCAGAAAGGATTCCTGTATCTTTGGGCTCAGTCGGGGTACCTGGGGAGCAGGTCATCCCATTTAGCCTTTTTCTAGCCCGTTGGAGTGTTTCGGGGAGCTTCGTGCGTCCTCTGTGAGTGGATTCTGGTTTCTTTCCAGAATCAAATGCTGACCCAGGAAGGGCTCTCGCCCAGTGGTGCTCACTGCAGGTACCTTTAAGGAGAGAACGCTCACCCCAGCTCCGTGCTGACTATTCAGACAGACAGTTTGTCTTCTGGGCAGTACAGAAATGGAAAACATTTCATAACCGTTTTCACTGTTCTCTTCCTGCAGCTCAGCCCAAGAGTAAGAAAACATTAGCCAAAAATGGGGTGAGGAACATCGTGGTGGTCGACGGCGTCCGCATTCCGTTTCTGCAGTCGGGAACATCGTAAGTACGAACTCCTCCCCGGCACCACCATAGATAAAAGCCCCAAAAGAACTTGATTTTCACCCAGAAAGGGTCTGCTGAAGTCACCGTTAGTTTTTTCTTTGTTCACTCTGCAACAACTAAACAATGAAAGTCCTACTTCCTGCAGCCATTAATGCTGTCTTGTGCTTTTCTTTTCTCTGCCTGCCCCTGGTGACCCTCAGGTACGCCGACTTGATGCCGCACGACTTGGCCAGAGCTGCGCTGAAGTAAGTGGTGGGGTGGGGGCCGGCCGGCCGGCCCGCCAGCTGTGACTCGCTGGGGAATAGCCTCCAGGCAGCCTCCTGGCTTGACTCTCCCCAGTATTTCTTGCCTCAGAACAGCCTTTCTCACTCAGTCCAGCAGCCGCCGCCTCCTCTGCTCTCCCTCAGCAGCCTTCTCTGCCTCGTGAGCGCACCTTCATGGGTCAGCCTGCCCCCCCCGCCCCATGTTGTCCACCAGAAGCTCTTGGAGGGGATGGAGAGCATTTAATGTGTTGCATCATGACACAGTTTTCCTCCCTCCCTCCGGACCAGCTTGCTAGGCACAGTTGGACCAGCTAGTGGGAAAGGGGTGGTGTTGGCTTTCGATTGGGCGGTGGGGCGAGTGACCTGCCTGGGCCTCTGCCCCTTCCCACGTGCCTTTGGATTGGATCTGCTTGGTGGTGTTCCTGGTTTCACAAACAAAAGCCTTGAGAGAACTGGGCAAGTTTGGCCTCGAGAAAAGGACTGAGAGGAGATTAGATGGCACCCCTCACAGACCTGAAAGGCTGTCACAAAGGGGAAGGGCAGGACCGCTTCTCGAGCATCCCAGAGTGCAAGACACAGAATAACGGGCTCCAGTGACAGGAAGCCAGGTTCAAGCGGGACATCAGGAAGAACTTCCTGCCTGTTAGATCAGTGCAGCAGTGGAACCCCTGGCCTGGGGGGTGGGGGGCTCTCCCACACTGCAGGCATTCAAGAGGCAGCCGGACAGGGATGGCTTGACTTGGAGTCCTGCGGTGGGCAGGGAATTGGGCCCCCTGGACTCTTCCGACTCAGCTGCTGTGGTTCTGTGCTCATGTGTTTGTTCTGGCTCTCTCCAGAGGCTTGTTGGACCGGACCGATGTGCCGAAGGAGGCGGTCGAGTACATTGTGTTTGGCACTGTCATCCAGGAGGTGAAAACGAGCAATGTGGCCCGGGAGGTATGTGCTCGAGGGGAAGGGGTGCCCTGCAGCGCGTGGCATGCATAGCTGAATCCCAGCCGTGCGCCTCAGGACCCGGTGTGCACAGCCCGCTCTGCCCTGGGGGCTCCCTCGCGCGTCCATGTTGGGCTCCATGTGGGGTGATGGTCGGGGCAGTCTCCTCCTCAGCCCCACATTCTGGAGGGGGCCGGAGCCAGCCTCTGCCGCCCTTCCCTTGGAGGGACTTCAAACGTGTTGGCGGCACCACATGGCTCGGAGAAGCCCCGGCCGTCCTCCGGAGCTGCTGGAGGCCGTCGCCGTCCCTGTGCCGCACTGCAGGGGGTTCCAAGTCCCCCAGAGGCTCCCTGTGCTGGTGGAGCCGAGATCCCCCTCCCCAGAGGGGGAATGGGGGCACATGTTTTGGGTAAAAGCTGTTGGAGGTGGCCAAAACATGCGGCTTTCCATTGATGAGAGCAGGGCAGGAATAAGCGCTTCCTCAAGAAGGGGCAAACTAGCAAGAGAAACCCAAAATGCAGGGGACAGAAGGTCCCCGGATGAGATCGCAAAGCTGTTCCACTTTGCAAGGTTATAATATCTGGGATTGCTTGGCTTGAAAAGGGAGGGGAGCCTGGGCGGAGGGGTGTGGGCCCGTGCCTCACCTGGGCAGAAGGCATGGGAGCCAGTCCTCTCCTCTCGTCGTAGAAGCATAGAATAGTCAAGCTGGAAGGGGCCAGGAAGGCCCCCGGGTCCAGCCCCCGCCCGCTGCAGGACACCTGGCCGCGCGATGCACGAGCGCGACAGTCAGAAGATGAAGAAGCAGACCAGGAAACGTGTGGTTTGCTCAGCGCAGGGAACGGGGGGAGCTTTGGAACTCCTCTGGGCCGACGGAAAGAGGAGCACGTTGCCCCAGCCCCTAACCAAGCTTGCTTCCTTTCTGGTGTCTCGGCACATGGCACCGTGTTGCAGATGCACGAACTCGCTGAGGGAGAATCTCTGCAATTTGTCCCATCGGTGCAGGAAACATAGATTGCAGGTGTTCTAGATTAAGGAGCGTGGAAAAATGCAAATAGAGGAAATCTCTCCCTGAAACAGAGGAAAAATTGCAAGCTGCTACTAGCAAGCGCTACCTCTGAAACTGCAGCTCTAAACTCTAGTAGCTAGTTATGCTTTGGATGCATTCCCCACTTTTCTTTCAGTTGCAACTAATGCAAACAGGAAGCAAGCCTTTTCGGTACCTTGAAATAAGTATTTAATCTCCCTGCCCAGAACTGAATACACGAGATTTTGCAGCGTCCTGAACTAGGGATGATCATAGGATTGCAGAAATCCACAGCTGTACCTTATCTGTCCATGTCCTTTGCTCCACCTTGAGCAATTATTAAAAACTGTAAAGCTGTAATCCTATGGAGACCCTTATATAATGGCCAGTCTTTAAAATGCATTTTGCAAAAATCCTACCGGAAGAATGCGTATGCCCGTACTTCCCACGGTGCCACCCAGACCCTTAGCTCCAGTTCATATTGCTAATCGGGATCATGGTGTGTTGGGGACCTGTGTGTGTTTTGTGTCCAGGGTGGGGGGGGAGAGGGTGCGCATGGGCAGCACATGAGCATGCGCTGATGGTGAAGGGAAAGGCAAGAAGTTGTTCTGGTCCAGCTTCGTACAGATTTCAGCTGCCCCTTAAAAAAGAGTCTTTGGCAGTGGGTTGTCCTTACTGGATGTTGCTGTTCTTTCTCACACTTGCTCCTTTTGGTTGCTCAAGATTAAATCCAATAATATTGTTCTCATTGTGCAAGGCTAGCTTAGTTTTATGGCCTGCCTACCTGCAGGTGGGGCAAAAGAAAGAGTTGCGACACTCGTTCACCTCTAGAAAATTCCATTTAAATAGGCCAGGTTGGCTGATGCAATCATGGAAAATTGTGTATGTGAACTTCTGTGTGTGTGAACTTGCACTTGCTCAGGAGGCACGTGAGTGAGTGTGCGAGGGACCGCTGAGCCTCGCCTCCCTCCCTCCGAGGCCTGCCCTCGGCAGCCGCCGCTGATTTTGGGGCGGAGGGAGGGCGACCGGGCAGCCGCGGCTCCAGTCTCGGACAGCCCTGCGGAGCGGGCCCTCAGCTCCCCCTCCTTCCCGAGAGGAGGACCACATTTGGGTCACGGAGGCCGGCCGCCTCCCGCTTCGCGCCGTCACTGGTGTCCGCTGGCCTTTGCAAGGCTCAGCGGGGGGGGGGGGCGCTTTTCGGGGGCTCCCGTGTGGTCCCCCGCACAGCGATCCACCTCAGGCGTGCCTCCTCTGGAGGGCCGCTTCCCCTGCCCTGCCTTGGGCCCTGGCCGCTCGGCGGGGGAGTCTGGGCAAGGCCGCCCCTGGCTCCGACCTCCCGCTCTCGCCTGGCCTTTGGCCCAGCTGGCTGCGCCTCAGCCGGGGCGTGTGCTTTGCAGCTGACGACGCGTGGCCAGTGTGACCCCGGCCACCCCCCCGCCCGTAGTAGCGCTCTGCGTTGGGCCCCGGTCCAGCCAGGGATGGCGCCCTCATCCTGGCAACAGCTCTTCAAGCTCCCACGCAGAGGGTGGCCTCTTCCAGCCCTGCTGTGCACTGAAGCCCTCCTGACTGGGGGTGTTTCGGGGGGGGGCTGTGCCCCCTCCCAGAGCAAACCACCTGTTCTGTTAGGTGTCACCTTGGGCCACTCTGGGCCCTTCTTCCAGAGAGAGACGGGCTTTAGGTTGCGCTGAGCCCGGGTGTGCTTGCCCCTTGCGCCAAGTGCCCCCGCAGGGGCTTTCGGGACATGAGCACTGAAGCGTGTGAGACCCGCAGGGTGTCCAATAGCCTGTGGCGTTTTTCAGCTCTTCTGTGCTCACCTTCACGGCCATGAGAGCTCGACATTCTTCCCGCTGCAGAATGGGGTCACTGGAGTGTGGGAGCACGTCTTGCCAAAGCAGCTGCTGGGGGGGGGGCTTTTCAGAGTGAGCCCCCTGATTTCACTGGAAGAGGGATGCCTCCGGCCCTCTTGAGCTCTGGCAGCGGCTCCCTCCCCTGCTGGCCAGAATGCCCAAAGGCTCCCCTGGGTCTCCCTGCCACCGCCCCCGACATCCCCTTGCTGATCTTTGGACGCCTTCAGATAGTCCCTGTGGGCAAGAGAAGGCTTCCGGAGCAGCTTGGGCTCCTGCTGGCTGAGCCTGGGTTTGCTGGCCCAGCGCCTCCTCGCGTTGCAGGTCTGTGGAAGGCGCTCGGGGCAGCCAGCCTGGTGGTGCTCCCACTTCGTCCTCGCGGGGGCCCCTCCCTGCTTGCGAGGTGGGTGGCCCAAGGCGCCCGTGAGCTGCGTGGCTGAGCGGGACCAGGGCCCCGTCCCCCGAGTTCCAGTCTGGCACGCCGAACCGCTGCCCTGCTCCGGCTCTCAGGACCTGCCCCGGACGTTGAGGAGGGCAGTGAGAGAGGGAGCACTCCCAGCGAGCAAGCGGGGCCCCCAGTGTGAGCTCGCACCCGGACTGGCTCCGTGGCTTCCCTGCTGCTCCCACGGGGCCGCCGCACGATGGCTCCGGCGTGCCGTCGGCACTCGCCAGCGCTGGGGACGGCCTGCCTTGCCCTGCGGGGCTGTGGGAGAGGAGGGGGCGAGGCCGGGCTGCGCGCGGTGCCTGTGCGCAGGCCAGCCAAGCCCACGCCGGGATCGCGTCTGCCTCGCTTTGCTGGGAAGCTGCCGGCGTCCGCCCTCCTCACTCGTGGTTGCGTTGTGTGTGTCGGCTGTAGGCGGCCCTGGGAGCCGGCTTCTCGGACAAAACCCCGGCGCACACAGTCACCATGGCTTGCATCTCTTCGAACCAGGCCATGACCACAGGTACGGCACCGCGAGGGGGCACCGCTGGCGGGGGCCGGGGGGCCCGGGGGCGACCCTCCGCGAGGATGCAGGGCTGTGTGGATCCCTCCTCACTCTGCCCTTCATTCGGGAAGCAAAACATAGAAACAGAAACAGAGCGAGTCAGAAGGGGTTTCCCGGGCCATCTAGTCTGACCTCCGGCACCAGCCGGCTCCGCCCACGACATGCCCACCATGTGCACGTCCAGCCTGTCCTTGAACACCTGCGCCAAGGGGGCCTCAGCCACCTCCCGTGGAAGCCCATTCCACACCCTGGGGGTCCCAACTGTCAGGAAGTGCTTCCCGGCATCTAAATGGAACCTCGGTTCCCTGTGCTTTGCTCCGTTGGAGCTCACCAGGGTTCCAGGGCAAGGGTGACCAGGCTGGTTAGGACTAACAGACAACCTGACCGGGTTCCATGTGCTCCCGGGAGGCTTCAGTATGAGGCCGACAGGGCGTATTGGCCCCGGGCCTGATCCTGCACCTGTTGGTGGAGAAAAACACTGAAAGACCCAAATGCAGTTGTGCATCTGTTTACATGAAATGGAAAATATCGGTACTACACTGAACTTAGAACTGTTATAAAAAGGGGAGAGGAAGCTGTGCTTTAGTTACCGACTTAAGGGAACAGAGCGTGGGGGGGAGCACAAGTCCGTCCCGTCGCCCTCCTCATGCGGTGCTCTCCTCCCGTGCGACCTCTGTTCTTCTGTTCAGAGCTTTACGGATGTATTTCGTGCAAGTCTTGCTTTGTGTCCCGCCCTTTTTCCTGCAAGGGTGGCTCATGTGAACCACCCCCTTTCCTTGCTATTCTCACAACAACCCTGTGAGGTAGGATAGGCCGAGAGTGAGTGGCCCAGAGTTAACATCACCACGATGCCACACTGGCTGTCAGCACGTGAGTCGGGCTGGGTGGAGAGAGCGTGAAGGAGGGCCATTTCTGTGGGGCACAAGAAGCGAGCGAAAACTGGCGCAGGAAGCCGTGCGGGGGGCCGCCCTCTTCCTTCCCCCGCTGCTGAGAAATGCCACGAGCCAGGCTGGGCCGCCCTCTTCCCCCTGCAGGCGTCGGCCTCATTGCCTCTGGCCAGATGGACGTGGTGGTCGCTGGCGGCGTTGAGCTGATGTCAGACGTGCCCATCAGGCACAGCCGGAAGATGAGGAAGACCATGCTCGGCCTCTCGCGGGCCAAGAGCCTGAGCCAGAAGCTCTCGCTGCTCTCCAGAATCCGTCCTAATTTTTTGGCTCCGGAGGTAAGAGCTGGCAAACCGAGTCCTGGCCCCACTGCTCCGTCGGCTTGCCGATTCTGGAAAGGGGCGCAATCGGGCCAGCCTGGGGAGCAGGCTGGGGCGAAGGGTGGGTGCCGGGGTCGGTCTGGCGAGCGCCACGCCGTCTGCGCTGATGCAGACGGGAGGGCGGCCTGGCACGATTCCCCCGCGGTGGGCTTTCTGTCCCAAGGACTGGTGAAAGCGGGGAACCTGCGGGCAGAGCCACTGGGCACTGGAGCGGGCCCACTTCCCCTCCCGGCCTCAGCGAGGGCTGGCTGGGGGAACGCAGGCCCTCTGGGGCAAGGGGGAGGCTCCGGAGAAGCCTTGCTTTCCGGGAAAGAAGGGCGTGGAGGGAGGGGAAGCGCTGCCCGGGTGGCCTGGGAGGTGGACGGCACCGCGGGAGGCCAGCGGGGCTGTCGGAGGACAGGCGAGGGGCAGGGCCGCTCGGTCGCAGGCGGGCTCCGTGCGGGTGCCAGTGCTTCCGGCTCGCTGCGTGGGGGGGGGGCAGAGGGACTGTGCCGAGGGGCTTTGGGCCCACCTGTCATAGCCGTGGGGGCTGAGCCTTTCTGCCCGCTGCAGCTCCCGGCGGTGGCCGAGTTCTCCACCAACGAGACGATGGGCCATTCGGCCGACCGCCTGGCAGCCGCCTTTGCCATCTCGCGCTTGGAGCAGGACGAGTTCGCCCTGCGGTCCCACAGCCTGGCCAAGAAGGCGCAGGACGAAGGGCTCCTCACAGACGTTGTGCCGTTCAAAGTGCCAGGTACATCGGCTGCTCGGAGGGGCCGGGGAAGCCTGGTGTCGGGGTGTGTCCAGGAATTCGGGGGGGCGCAGTGGGGGAATCGATTTCTGTCCCCAGAGGGTTCTCGGCTGAAGTGCTCGGCTGTGGCAGTGGGCCACCGCCGCTCCCCCACTGCAGCAGCCTCCCCCGCCGGGTTCATGTGACCCGCCCACAGGGAAGTGGGGGGCCCGCCCGCCTTATTATCCAGCTGCACCACGTCCCGGAAGGGGGGTGGGAGCGCTGGACTGCTCTGACCAGGCTCTCTGGGCTGATCCTGGGCAGAGCCGGGGCTGTTTCTAAAGGCGCCCCTGTGGGCGAGCGGCGTGGTGTTGCAGCGCGAGGGTGGATCCCGTGGGCAGCTTTCTCCGGTGCTGGCCCACGAAGCAGCGGCATTTCCCTCGCCGTCAGTACGGGGAAGGATCCCGTGAAAGACACGCAGGATCGAAGGCAAATCCGGCAGCGGTCCCGTGTGCCAAGGGCTCCGTGATGCCTGACGGACGAGTCATGCGAGGCACCCGTGGAACGGCTCCTCCTGGAAACCTTCTGCGGGATCACACGCCCCAGGCGGCAGCGCCCTTCACGTGCCCTCGAGACCCCGGCTGGACTCCTGGGCAGCGTGGCGAGCCGGGCGCCCGCTCCCTTGTGCCTTCGGAGGCACCCTGCCCTTCGCACGCTCCCTCAGCAGAACCCCTCCCCAAAACCGGAGCTCTGCCCCACAGGACCGCTCTTGGGGAGGCGTCTGTATCTTGCCGTTGGGGGGGGCGGCTTGGGTGCCTCTGCCCTCGGCCTGACCTTGATCCCGGGAGTCGGGCCTGCGGGGGCTGCGCTGCGCCATCCTGCTCTCTGGCGCTCGCGCTTTCGTGGGTCATGAGGCCGCGTGGCCTGAAGGTTCTGCGAGAGGAGGGCCAGAAGGAGAGCAGCGCTGGGAGGGGGCGCCGGGCAGCAGGAGGCGGCAGAGGCGGTTCGGTGAGGCCTTCAGCCGGAAGTGGCCCTCCTCAGGGGTCTCGCGTCCCACAGGCAAGGACACCATCATGCGGGACAACGGCATCCGCCCGTCCTCGCTGGAGCAGATGGGCAAGCTGAAGCCTGCGTTTGTCAAGCCTTACGGGACTGTCACTGCCGCCAACTCCTCTTTCTTGGTAATGCCCGCACGCTTTTCCCGGTCCGGCTGGCAAACTGCCGCTTCCAGGCGCCCGGAGGGGCTGTCGTGGCTGGGAGCCCAGGCCAGGGCCCTGCCGTCTCCGACGCAATTTATTTCTTCGTCCGCCTGTTTATAGGCCGTTGACTGGTTGCTGCTTTCGCGCTCGTGAGGCAGGCGGGGCCTGGCTGGCAGTCCGTGGTGCTTTGCAGCTCCAGCTCGCCAGCAAGCCATACTTGGCCCAAATGTTGGTGTGAGGCGAGAGAGAGTCCCACCCCAGCGCCCCGCTTGCCTCGGATCGGCTTGAGAAGTAACTGAGCCGTTTCCTCAGGAAGCGAGAGTGGCACTGCCCTGCGCCAGCTCCGATAACACACTTGTGGGGCTGGGGCCGCAGGAGACTCCACGCGGGGGGGGGCTGCCCCCTCTCGGGTGCCCTGGCCAGGGAAGAAGAGGGCCCTGCTGGAACATGGCCGCTTGGGCAGAAATTCCCACCCTCGGGAGCCAGCCAGCCAGCCAGCCGGGCGCTCTGGCCTGACACGCTCCCTGTGCCTTGGGTCGGGCCGGTTCGCGCAATCAGGTTGAGCCGCGTGGCTTAAATTGCGGTGCCTGCGAGGTGCGGTTTCCCGGTCGTGTCCGTCCTGCCAACCCAGGCTTGTTGGGGGGAGGCGACCCCTGACAGCCCCGCAACAGCCGGTGGGCGGCTGGGGAATGGCTTCTCCCTTTATGGAGCCACGCCGTCCGGGTCGGTCCACGCCCACAAAAGGATCGTGCAGATCCCCCTGGACCCACGGTGCCTGCCAGCTCATGGGTGGGGGGTGTCCGGGCAACCTTTGGCCCCAGGTGGGAGCGCTTCTTGCCCAAAGGGGGGGCCCTTCCTGCCCCCGCTGGTGCCGCCTTGGCCGCCAGGCGAGGCCTTGGCCCGGGCGTCTGATGCCCACTCTCGACCCTTTGGATGTGGGCTCAGGTGCTAAATGCAGGTCCTCCCCCCCCAGCAGTGTGACTCCTCCCTCCAAATCTGCGGGGGGGGGGCACCTGTCCTGCTCCTTCACCTGACGGCTCCTCCACCTTTGCAGACTGACGGTGCATCGGCGGTCCTGTTGATGTCCGAAGAGAAGGCTCTGGCGATGGGGTACAAGCCGAAGGCCTACCTCAGGTGAGCGGAGGCCGGCCGGTGCCCCCCCGTGGCCCCTTTCGGAGGTGCGAGGCATTTCCACCCCTAACGCTGCTCCGCTCTGCCCCTCTCTCTCGCACCCAGGGATTTTGTGTACGTGTCCCAGGACCCGAAGGACCAGCTCCTGCTCGGGTGAGCTGCTGCTGCGCGCTTGGCCCCCTCCCTCGCCGCGGATGGCCCCCTGCCCCTCCTGCAAGCCCTTCCAAGCCACCCTCCTCGCTCCGGGCACGGGCGCTGCCCCCCGGACGCCCCCAGTCTTTCCCCCCGCAGTGCGGTGCCGTGCCGACGGCCGTCTCCATGCCAAGCCAGCAACTGCTGCGTTGCTGCGGACGGGAAGGAAATCGCGGGCACCGGGACTCGGCCGTCGAGGCTTCCAGAGGCCACGGCAGGGGGCTGCAGACGGCCGTAGGACTCCGCGGCCACCGTGGTTGGGGGTCTCTCGAGGCGCTGTTTGCCCCCCCCGCCACCTGCAGTCAGGGCTGGCACCTGTGCCCCCCCCCCCCCGCACGGTGTGGAAGGATGCCTGTTTGGCAGCGGGCGACGCCTTTGAGGTCCCACTCCGAGCCTTTGTGGGGCGGGCGGGCGCCCGTCTGGGGGAGCCGAGGCAGGAAGGGGCTGCCCTTGCGCCAGGGAGCGGGCGGGCGGGTGCCCTCCACTTTGGCAGCCCTCCTCAGTGGGCAGCCCTCCTCAGTGGGCAGGTGCCCCCCGGGCCGGAATGCAGGCTGCAGCAGGGGCTTCTTTCCCCTCCCGCCCGCAGGCCCACCTACGCCACCCCCAAGGTCCTGGAGCGGGCCGGCCTCACGCTGGCGGACATCGACGTCTTTGAATTCCACGAAGCGTTCGCAGTGAGTGCTTCCCGAGCCCTGGGCGGGGCAGGCGGGGCGCACGACCCCACGAGGCACGTCCCACCGCGGGGAGGCGGGTGCCGGTCGCCTTTGCGACGCTTCCCTGCCACCCGGGAGCAATCGGTTTCTGAGGATAACTTTGAATGCATAAAATACCGCATGGAAAGGGACTTGGAATGGCACGGAAGAGCAGCAGAGGGAGCAGGGGCAGCAAAGCCAGCCCAGTTCTGCCGTCGCCCCCCCACACGTCTCCCGTGGGTGGGGGCTCCTCCATCCCAGTCTTGAGTGGGGGCAGCACCCCTCAGCAGCCCCCAGGCCGCCTGCACAGCTGTCGCTTCACGACAGGCCGGAGATCCCGGGAGCTTGCCCTCCTCGGCGGCAAAGTGCGCCCGCTGCAGAGCCAGGCGGCCGGGGTGTCAGCCCCTCCTCGCCCGGCGCATCCTCTGTGGCGGCTCCCGGGCCGGTTCCCTGAGCTGCGCCTGCCCAGGAGGCCCGGCTGGCCGCTTCCTGCAGGATCCCCTCGCGCGCCTGCCCAGGCCCACGGCATGCTCGTGAGGGGGCACAGTAGGTGGGGGAAGAGCCCCGCTTTGCACGCCAGAGGCCTGGGTTTGCCCCCGTTGCCTCCAGGTGGGGCTGGAAGGCCCCTTCCTGCCCCCTTGAAGAGCCTTCCTGCCAGTCTCGGGCTGGAGGGACCCCGGAGCTGCTCGGCTGCCTGTGGCCCTTGGCAGAGCGCAGGGCGGCTCCTCGCAGCCGCCTCTTCCCGCCCCTGCTGCTGGCACCGCGATCCCCCCCCTCCCGGCGCCTGGTCGTTCAGGAGAGGGGCGCGGACGCGTGAGGGGGCAGCCATGCCTCGGGCCTTGCGCCCGGAGACTCGGCTCGCTTCGCTTGCGCTGCCGCTCCTGCAGTCCGTCCTCTTGTTTTCAGGGGCAAATCCTGGCAAACCTGAAGGCCATGGATTCCGACTGGTTCGCCCAGAACTGCATGGGCAGGAAAGCCAAGGTGAGGTCCGGGCCGCTGCCCCCGGCACACCGTGCCCACTTCGCGGCTCTGGCACACCGCCTTTGCCGCCCGCCCCCCCCCCTGCACCTTCGTTTCTCGGCCCATCCTCCCTTCCAACTCCGCTTTGAATCGTCGACCCGGCCGAGAGCCCCCGTGAACGTACAGAGCCGCTGTCCCCCCCGGTGCCCCCCAGGTGTGCTTGGCCGCCCCTGCCAGCGGACGCAGGAAGGCGAGGCTTGAAGGGCAGGGCCGCCCCCGTGTGCCAGAACGGGGGAGCTGGGGGCGCCGTCTGGATCGCTTGTGGCGGCTGCTCCGGCCTTCCCGGCAGACCTCTGTCGGCTCCTCCACGGCGTGGGTGGAGTGGGACCCCCTGGAGAACGCTCAGGCACATGGGCACTGTTGGCTTTCTGCTTGCAGGTCGGCGCCCCCCCGCTGGAAAAGTTCAATAAGTGGGGCGGGTCCCTGTCGCTGGGACACCCCTTTGCTGCCACCGGCTGCCGCCTGGTGATGACGACGGCCCACCGGCTGAAGAAGGAGGGCGGCCAGTACGGCCTGGTGGCGGCGTGTGCCGCAGGCGGGCAGGTGAGGGCCGCTTCAGCGTGCCGAGGGTCCCTGGCACAACTCCTGCTTTCCCAGGCGCCCCCTTCCATCCCCTCGCCCGCCCCCAGGCCGCGCGCCGGAAGGAGGGTCCTCGCTCCTCCTCTCACGCTGCCTCTGCTCCCCCCACAGGGCCACGCCATGATCGTAGAGCGTTACCCCCAGTGAAGGCCCGAAGGACCGGGGCGCCGGCCTGGGACCCGCCTGCCACCACCCTCGCTGCCCAAGAGCTCGGGTCCAAATCTGTCTGCCGTCCTTTTTGCGGAGGACTCCCAGTGGCCTTGTGAACACGTCCTTGTAGCCAGTGAAGCTGATTCCACAGTCGGTAGATGTTCCCTCAGGTGATCCAGCCGGAGTGCAGAATTCCTGCCATTTATCCGTCATGGAATGGCAGGCCGCTTTTTCCTTGCAAAACCTGGGTTAGTTTGTGGAGCGCTGCAGTGCTTAAAAGCAGGAGGCTTCCTGGTTCGGTTTTTTTTAAGAGAAAATGCGCGTGGAGGGTGCTATGTGATGGAAGCCGCTCTCTCTGAGCAGCACCGAAGAGGCGCAGAGGAGGGGGACTGTCGGCAGCGTTCGGTGCGTGGCCGGTTGCCGCATGCCAGCCTTAATAAATGCGAAGAAAACTGGGGGGTGTTTTCTTCAGCCGTTTTCTCGCCCACCCTGGCTCCCCGCCCTCCAACAGGACTTCAGCAGATACCGAGGATGGGCCCGTTTGCACGTAATGGCGGCAATTCGTGGGCTGATTAACCCACCATTTTCCCGGTGAGGCAGCACTGCTGTTCCCAGGGTGCAGCCTCTGCTCAGCTCGATTGCCGGTTTTTCCATGAGTTACCCCAGACACTGCAGGCACTCCTGGTTTAAACAACCCAAAGTTAATTGTATGTCAACTTTAGATTGATCAACCCATAAATACTTTTTATATTTGCCACATTTATACGCTGTCCCACATCTAAGCAGATTCCAGAGCAGAAAACAATACTACCCTGCCCTGTGAGGAGAGACTGAGGGAACGGGGCCTGTGCAGCCTCGGGAAGAGGAGACTGAGGGGCGATGTGGTGTCCCTGTATAAGCACCTCCAAGGCTGTCACAAAGAGGAAGGTCAAGATCTCTCAGAGTGTAGGACGCGGAATAATCGGCTCATGTTCCAACAACCCAGGTTCAGGCTAGATAACGGGAAACGTTTCCTGACTGTCAGAGCAAAAGGGTAGTGGGACCAGCTGGCCGGAGAGGTGGGGGGCTCTCCCACACTGGAGACATTCGGAAAGAGACGGGGCAGCCCTCCGAGTGGGATGGTGTGACTTGGTGTCCTGCAACAGCAGGGGGTTCGACATGATGACCTTCATGGCCCCCTCCAACTCTTCTATGATGATATCAAAAGATTAAAAAAGCAGTCGCTGGCCGACTAAGGAAGGCTTCCCCAGATGAAGGTCCTTCAGGAGGCCCAGGGCACAGCCATGCGGGCAACTGCCTGGCCTTCAAGGCGGGAACTCTGGCAGGCGGCCGCACTGAAGGCCCTTCGGAGGCTGTAGGCGCGGGGGCCCTGCTAGAAGCACCCATCCTGTCACCTCGGGCCGGGCAGTGGGGCCTCCCAGCTGTCCTGGTTCCCGGTGGTTTAGGGTTTTGTGTCCCAGGACCAGAGCCATGAACCCAACTGGTGCCAGGCGGACAGCCGGTGTGGCGCCCTTGGCAAGGAGGAAGCCGCCGGCCACGGTGCCCCCCTGCTGCTTTGCACAGCGCTTGCTGGGGCCAATCGGGAGTCGCCTGTGTGCAATGGCCACATGCAAGCCATGGACATTTAAAGCCCCACGGGCTGGAATTTGCCCTTTGCCACGGGTCCCTCGGCCACACCGTGGCTCGTCTGCTCGCGCGCTGCACTCCCATCCTTCACATATTTACGCGGACTCGGGCTTTGGTCATTGTGCATCAGCTTTTATAAATGCCACGGCGGCTCACAGTCAAAGCCAGCGCTGCCCTCGGACCTCCTGCACGCGGGATCAGCCGAGATGCGATGGGGCGGCGGAATCCCACACGGCAAAGCGGCGCTTCTGCTCCCGCGAGCTCTAAGACGCTTCGGTCTGCGGAGGGGCAGAGAAAAAACCCGCAACCCGCATGCAGGGGGGAAGCTGGGCCACGCGTCTCCCCAGCCAAGGGAGCATCGGGGCCGGGGCGCATCGGAAGAGCCACATGGGTGTCAGCGAGTCTGCCCGGGGCAATCGCCCCCATCCTCTCACTTGTGCAGCCCCGAGTCCAAAGCTCTGCACTCGCCCCACAAACATGGGCGGAGGGCCCGACTGAGACCTGCCGGAGCACAGCCCGGCGGAGAGCTCCGTGCCCCTCGGAAGGGCGGGCGAGGGGGGCAGCCCCGGCGGTCCCGGGCCCCAACGGGCGCCTGCAGCAGGCCGAGGCCACGCGTACCTGAGTGGTGCTGGCCCCAGTGGCTCCGGAGGGCTGGAACAGGCGTGTGCGCAGCGCTGCCCGCACCTGCGAGAGACGAGCGCTGAGCCTGGCGCAGAGCACACGCCCCCGCCGCAGCCCCACGGCTCGGCCTCCGTGCCCCCCATTCCGGCACCCAGAGCGGAGGCTCTGATTCAGGCCGGAGGCGGCTGTTTCCAGGCAAGCCGAGCGGGTGGGCAGAACTGAGGGCGCTTGTCTAGGGACTTGGGGCCCCGGGGGTGGATCTGAGGGGGTGCCTTACACATTGTCCTGAAGCACCCGGAGCACTTTGGCTGTAGGGCAGTACGGATATGAAACGAGATGGGACAAATAATTGCTTGGCAGCGTTCTGCTTGTGGCCCCCAGAATCTGGCATGAGCCGTGTGCATTTTGCATGCAAAAACCTGCAGGCTGCAGGACTCGAGCTGCGTTTTGCAGAGCAACCGTGTGCTGCATGGAAGGAGCACTTTTTAAAATGCACCAAGAAAAAATGGTACTTAAAAAAAGGGGTCATATAAGTGTGTTTTAATCAAGGGGGGCAAAAAGTTCATGCAATCTGGAAACTACACATTTTTAAGGTACACCAAACTGGTGTAAGGATTTGCATCTGCAAAAAATAGGAGTCATTCTGCATAAAATCTGGCACAGAAAAGATGCGGTGGAGGAAAATGGAGAAAGCTGTGGGACTGGATGGGGCACCTCAGCTGCTCCTGGTGTGCCCCCTTCCCCAGCTACCTAAAATGAGTCTTCTCTCAACGTGGTTGGTGGCCCGGCTGCCACCTGAGCGGGGCTTTGGGGTCAGTGACCCTGGAAGGACGTTCAGAAGCTGCTTCTCCTGCAGAAGGCAGCAGCCGGGCTGCCGGCGGGGCGAAGGACGCCCAAAGCAGACCGCCGGTTCGCACCGCCGGCCTGCTCCCGAGCCAGGCGGGGACGGTCTGGGCTCCCGCGGCCCGGCATGGAAAGATGGCACTCCCAGCAAGAGCTTCCTGCCGTGGGGTCCCCTGCCTGATGAGGCCCTTCTCCTGCCACGGGAGGGACCCCACGCAGCGTTGCTGGAGCAGCGCCTGGGCAGCGGCCCCCCCGTGCCGCGCCTCCCGTGTGGGGCCCACCAGCACCAGCCTGGCTCACTTTTGGGCCAAGCCGGCCTCCCCCCGCCTGGCCGCTTGCGACTGGGTGTCCTCGGGCCCTGGATTTCTCTCGCCGCTGATTCATGGAAATGGTTTTAGGTCCACCTCTGTGTGCTGTGTGTTCGCAAGGCCGCTCTGCCTGCAAGCACACCATGCTTCCAGCGTCCTGCTCCCGGAAAGCCGCCCAAAGCGCCCTGCCGGTTGGGGAGCAGAAGCGCAGTATGACATGCGGAGCGTTTGCCCCGAAAGGCGTCTCCCGAGCAGCCGCGGAGCTCGGCTGGCAGCGCTTGGGCTGGCGAAGACACGGCCCCCAGCGGCGTGTGCCTGGGGGACGGGGCTGTGAGGCCCCCAGGGCTCGCTCCCCGGCAGAGGCTGCCGCGCCTCTTACCTTCTTGTCCATGAGGCAGCCGAAGAGCAGAATGAAGACCCCCTGCGAAGAAGGACCTTGCTGAGCGACCCACGAGGGCCGGCGGCCGCAAACGAAGCACGGCCGGCCAACCGAGGAAGCGTCTCCTCAGTCCTCGGGTGCCCAGCGCGACACTCCGAGGGCTCGCACGGCACGGCCACGGGGACGCGCGTGCAGCTGCAGCGGGCAGTGCTGAAGTCGTGCGAGGAGGAGCTTGCTCTGCCCCCTGCGTGTGCCGCCACCCGGCTGCCCCCTCCCAGCCCCGCTCGCATTCGCAGCAGCTCCTGGGTCGCGGTCTCACTGCTGTTCGCACACGGCCGAAGTTGGCCAGCCGGCCCACGCGAGGACGGATGAGGCAGGACAGAGCTCGTAAGGATGCGAGAGGGGACCCGGCTGGCCCATCGCGGCACGATCGCGCCTCGCCTCCCAGGCGCCCCCCCCCCCCGGCACGCCAGCTGAGCAGGCGCCCTGGCAGCATCTGCTTCATTTAATCTTAATTTAAAGTGCCCCCGTGAAGCCGGCCACAGCACCGTCGGTCGCGGGGGGACGAGGCCGGCCGCCCACAGGCAGGCCATGCAGCTGAGGCCAGGGAGCGGAGTGGGGGGGAGGCAGGGGGGTCAGCTCCCGTCAGGGAAGTGGGGTGGGCTGACCCCTCTTCCAGGGAGCTATGCCGGCGGGTGCGACCTCCCCCAGCTGTGCGCACTCCCCTGAGGGCGCCCTCACTCCTGGCCAAGGGCTGCTCAGGAGCTGATCCTTTGCTAGTAAGCGGAACCGGTCGTGGGAATGGGCCCCGGGCTGCTAACCTACATCCTGAACCAGGCCCAGTTTTGGCAACCTTGCGCCAGGAACAGAGAGGTGATCAGCCCTCTTGGCCCCGTTTGTACACACCTGGAACGAATTGAGGATGGAGAATGCGTAGTGGGTAAAGGTGGAGGCGTCCGTTGTCATGGTGATGACTCCCAGCACCCAGGTCAGCCCGAAGACAGGCGTGAGGATGAGGAGGGCCTTGAAGATGCCGAGCAGGGCCCTCCTGTCCTCCCCGGGGGACCCTTCCGGCCCCAGGGGCCTCATGAGCTTCAGCAGCACCACGAAGAGGACCAGGGCGTTGACGATGACGATGGCCAGGACGGGAACCGAGAAGGCGTGGATGGCCCTGCTGGGGGCGCTGAGCCAGCAGAAGGACTCCTGGAGGTAGCTCCTCCGCGGGAAGAAGGTGGCCACTGTGGCCACCGCGACAGCCAAGGGGCACCCGTAGCCCACGGCGACCATCGCGGGCGTGACGGTGCTGATGGTCAGCTGGTGGAAGACAAAGACCAGCTGGTGGAAGAGCGTGAGGGCCTGGACCAGCATCCAGAAGAAGGTGGCCAGGTAGAAGAAGTGGGAGAAGAAGGCCGCGGCCACGCAGAGCCCATTCTCGTGGCTGGCGGTCATCGTGAAGGCGCCCAGAAACCACAAGCTGCCCATCAGCAGAGACGAGGCGATGTTGGCCAGGGTGGTGTAGCGGAAGTAGGCGATCTGGAAGGCCAGGGAGGGGGGGAGGGCTGTCTTGCCGGATGCGGCCAGCAGTGCCCAAGGCCGGGGCTCGCCGCCCGGGCCTCCGTGGGCAGGAAGGGCGGGGAGAGGCAGCCCTGCCCCCTCTGTGGGCATGCGCAGTGGGA